TTTGCACCTTTCCTGGAACTCACTTGGTAGCCCAGGCTGGCCTCGAACTCACAGAGATCCGCCTGCCTCTGCCTCCCGAGTGCTGGGATTAAAGGCATGTGCCACCACCGCAGGGCTGAACCAGAGGTTTTAACAAGGTGTCCCCAGCCCCTGGAGAATCTTCCGTCGGAGAGGTCAGTGAGTCCCCCACTCAAAGATTTACTCAGATCGGTTTCAAGAGCTCGGTGAGAGCTGGGTTGTCATGTAAATAAGTCCTGAAATGCAACAAGTATGACTAGGCCAGATGGCCCACTGGCCTCTCAGCTGGAGGTTTTCGAGTCGGGACAACCCGCAGGGGAGCATGTTCACAGGCGAGGTTTCATTCAATCCCATAAACTCTTCTATTGTGTTGGGGGGGGCGGACAGGGTGTGACAGGCTCACATGTGGTGCACTGGCCTCCAGCTTCATATGTAGCTGAGGCTAGCCTTGAACCCCTAATCCTCCTGCCTCCACTTCCTTAGGCTGGAATGACAGATATGGACCATCACGACTATTCTATCATGGTTTTTACAGGTGAAGAAACTGAGGACCGGAGGGGCTGTTTTACCGTAACCCTAAAGCAGGGATTTGGGTCTTCTACCCTTTCAATCATATTGGCTTCCACGGTGTCATAGGTCTTTACCTCTTAAACGTGTCTCTGAAACCGGGCGGTGGCGGCGCACGCCTTTAACCCCAGCACTCGGGAGGCAGAGGCAGGCGGATCTCTGTGAGTTCGAGGCCGGCCTGGTCTACAGAGCGAGATCCAGGAAAGGCGCAAAGCTACACAGAGAAACCCTGTCTCGAAAAACAAAAAAAAAAAAGTGTCTCTGAATCTCCCAGAGGACCTTACAGTGCTTGCTACTTGGTAGGCACAAACCAACCAACTAAACCAAAAAAAAAACCCCAAACAATCCAAAAAGCGCTTGTCTGGACAACTTGCAGGAAAAACAACAACGACGACGACAACAGCAACAACAATAATAACAACCCTGAGCTTCAAGACCCTCTCAGGCAACCCAGGGGTACAGAGAAGCACTAAGGATGAAGAAAGACTACAACTCCCAGAAGGCCATGTCCTAGAGGCCGGCGACGCGCACGCGCAGGCAACGCCCCTTTAACTCGGACTTCACGGGGGTATTTTTTTCTCGCGCACGCGTGCTGAGGCTAGTCGGCTTCCGACCCCCCGTGAAGTGCTCCGGACCGGAGTTGGTTGCTGGCCGGTCCTCCCGTGACCTCGGGGGGCGATGGTGTCCTTCTCTCTGCTGCGGACCAGTCGGGTAAGAGCAGGGCTCTGCAAGCTGGATGAGCAGTGGACAGGCCCGCCCCACTTCGGTTCCTCGTCACCGAGCGGGGCTCCCCCGGGCCGCTTCCCCGCACGTGCTCTGGGGCCTCGGGGAGCGCGCGCTGGAGCCAGGGGCGCCCCGGGGCTCCCGGGCGCACGTGCGGCGGTGCCTGGGCCCCTGCTGGTGGCGATCAGACGCCCCGGGGTCAGCGATCGCACCGTGCACACGGGTCCAGGTAGAGGTCCGAACCCGGGGTAGCGACGGCCCTGGCGGACAAGTGGGGTTCCCGGCGTCCACGGGCTCGTTTAACTTTTCCCGCCAGCTCTGAGCTGCGGAGATGATGCAACCGAGCCTCCGCGCTTTCGTCAGGCGGGGGTCCCGCTGCAGCGTGGGCAGGAAGTAGGGAGGCGGCGTGTGTGTGTGTGTGCGTGTGTGTGTGGAGTGTGATAGAATTAAGATTTTGGCTTCCCTCTGGGCACACACCTTCACTCTACCCCGCTCCCGCCCGCACACACCTCTTTCCAAGAGCTGCTTAAAAGTCCGCTCTACTTCCGTTGCTCTGGAAACTACCCTCACAGCAGCCTGTGGCATTAAGGCCCGTTAACTCCGAGTCTTCTCTCAGTGGGGTAGTCTCTCAGGGAAGCCCGGCAGGATGCCCTCTCCCTTTATGTTCATGAATATTTTGCCTGCATGAATGTCTGTGCATCCCATGCATGCCTGGGTACCCACGGAGTTCAGAAGAGGGCATCAGATCCCCTGGAACTGGAGTCACAGGTGGTTGTGAAGCTGCCATGTGGGTGCTGGGAGCTGAACCTCTGTCCTTTCTCCTGTACAAGAGCAACAAGTGCCCTTAACCACTGAGCCACCTCTCCAGGCCCAGGAAGGCCCCTTTGTTCTTGGGGGTGGGGGGACGACCCTGGAATCTCAGTGTCTCTCCTCTGAATTTTGGGGGGGCAGAGGGATGGGCTTCTGGAGGGCAAGCTTTGCTCTGTGACCTTGCAGAGCAGCTCATAGGGTGAGGTGGAGGGAGATTTGGAGGGGAATGGAGTAGAGCCGATCAAAACTGCCCTTTGGAGATCAAAACTGCCCTTTGGATGGTGCTCTGAACCTTGACTCTAGAACTTGCTTTTCAAGGTGACGGTGGGGGTGGTGAGAACTGAGTGCTGGCTGGACCTGGATGCCTGCTTAGCCAGAGGGCGGCTGTCTGTACCCGTGACGGAGGGTGACTGGGAGAGGTCTGGACAATTTTTAATTAGTCCTGGCTCTTCTGCCCTAAGCCTCTGCAGAGATGTGGTCAGCTGGTCTGGACGGCTGCTCGGGCCCAGCACAGCAAGGTGGCCCGGACACAGGCCGGGGAAGCATCTGGAGGCTGGACAGGCCAGGAGACTCTGGCAGACAGTGACCCTGAGGTGTGGGAGCTCCTGCAGAGGGAGAAGGACAGGCAGTGTCGTGGTCTGGAACTCATCGCCTCAGAGGTAGGGCACCAGGAAATAACGCGTGCAGGAAATAACGCGTCATCTCACGGTCGTTTTTTTTCCGCATCTCCCGGTCAGACTCGGGAGCTTTTTCCTGGGCCTCTCCCTCTCTCTGGGCCTCTTCCTCTGAAGCATAAGGCAGGACCAACCCAGTTTGTGGGGCTTGGGCATCAGGGAGCGTCTGGATTCCTTACAGTTCCATCTCCTCCTTACCTCCCCTTGTTGTCAGAAGAAAGAGGAAACACAGGTCGAGTGGACAGGTGGACTTACTGGGGACCGCCCGCCACCCACGGCAGCTGAGTTTTTTG